TCAAAAAAAAAAAAAAAATCACTGAAGCCAAATGCAGCCTCTGACAACTGACAATAATGCTAGCTGGTACACTGATGCCAATGAGTTCCTAGAACACTCACCTAGCGGGAAAACTGGTATTACAAAAGGCCTGAACTTTAAATATAATTCAATTTTTTAGAGGGTCCTATATATATAGTGCTGATGCTTGAAACCCTACTCCAGAGTAATTAAATCAAAATTTCTGGGGATGGAGTTCAGGCATCAGTATTATTAAACTGCCCTCCCATCCTCTACCTAGTAATTTAATGTGTAGCCTAAATTGAGGCCACAGAAAGTAAGTTCGTTTATGTATCAACCATAGAGAATTAAGGGCTATGTGTATCCTAAGACTTGATTCTGAAATATCTATACATGAGAAACACTAAAGAAATACTGAAGTAGTGAGACCTTGCTGTCCAGTTGCATAGATGACAACTGGTATAACGGGCTTACTTCTTATTGATATCTTGTTATGGTGGACTCTTGAATAGACAATGCAGTCCTGGTTTTTTGGATAGAGAAAAGACAAGTTACAGAAAGTCTAATGAGAAAACTGAGTTTTCTTGATCACAACTGGAATGGTGTATGATATTTGTGACTGTGTGACTGTGTGTGTGTGTGTGTGTGTGTGTGTGTGTGTGTGTGTGTGTAAGAGATACAGAGATAGAAAGCAATTAAATGCACTTATTACTGCCCGTGCCAAAGCTGATTAATAGTTTATTATAGCTATTGCCTCTTCACCTTGCAAAGGTTTTCGTTGTTATTGTCAATTGGTTGCTATCAATTCTAGCAGTTTCACTTTTTAACTTAATTCCTGCTTTAAAAAAATACCTTACTCTTTTAGTTTCTGTAAAACTTCTTAACCTCTCTGGTATGTATAAGTATCCATTTCTTAAATCAATCATTCAATGTATATTTTAAGGACTTTCAGCAATAAGGCTTTGTTCCCAAACTGTTTGGAACCAATAAACCCCTTAAAAAAATATTAAAAGTTCAGGGAATTCACACACACACACACACACACACACACACACACACACACACACACACATTTATTTTTCAAAAAACAGAGTTCAGGCGGAATGGTCTTCTTCCTTAGATCGCCAAAATTTTTTAATTAAACCCATTTCTATTCTTCACTCCAACTAACATTCATTTGAATATAGCACGAGGCCGTACCTTGTATGTTTGGGACACTTTGGAAGTAAGAGTGAATAGGATAGCAAAGCCCTTGCTCTCTTGAAGCATGTATTTTGTTAAGGAAAGAAAGACAACAAACAAATAAGAAGCTAAAAATTCTATAATAATTATAAAACAAGTTGACATGCAAGAAGGTAACAAGGAGAAATACTGAGAAAGTAATTCAATAAAGAGGTAAAACCTATGCTGAGACCTCAATGGCAAAAAGGAAGCAGCCATGCTCCCAGAAAGAGCCAGGAAAATGTCTTTACAGGCAGAGAAAATAGCAATGATAAGAACTCAAGTGGGATCTGTGTGTGTCATGTCCCAAGAGCAGAGAGAATACAGTGGGCTCGATAATGCACAAAATGAAAAGTGGTACAAGGATTTGAATATACGTGAAGCTTCAGATGCTTATTAGATACCCAAGAGGAGGTGGCAAATAGGCAGATGCTTCTCAGAATTAAGATGTGTTGAGTCATATGAGTGTGTTTTTAAAATGCAGACTGTGAGGCAACATAACTGGAGTGGAGCCCAAGAGTCTGCATGTCTCAAAAGATCCCAGGTGGTGACCCCCACTGATCCTGGACTGCATGCTGAAAAGTGGGAATATAGGCAATTGTGCATTTGTTAGCGCATAGTTAAGCATGGAGAGAAAGAGGGGAATAGAAAATAAATGAGGTGGAGAGGAAGGAGCCAGGGAAGTAATAGAACATGAGGATACAGCAGTGTCACAGAAACCAATAGCACTTCAAGTAGGTGAGAGTGTGTAGGAGGCTGAGTGGTAAAGGTAGCATGAGGACAGATAAATGCTCTTGGATTTAGCACATAAGAGCCACCAGAAATCTTTAAAGTACGTTAACTTCTAAGCTGCTCTGGGTATTTATTACCCATTCCCCACAGGGTGGGTTTCAGACTATATCATTTTTCGCAAGTCCTCAGTCCTCCCCCATCTCTCTAATGCCTGAAAACCTCACTCCCATCTCCTTGGAAGAGAAAGAGAGACCAATTAGCAGGATCAACCACTTCCATCTACTTCCATCTTTCCATCTTAAAACCTACACCCTTCATGTTGAAAAAGAAAAAAAAAAGCCTATTTCTATCCTTTTCTCATATCGCAGAGTAATTGGATATAGGCTCCTGTTTGAGAATTATTACGTTATCTGCCTTCAATTCCTGTTTCACCATAGAATGTGCTTTCACATTGTTTTCTTCCCTGATTTTTCCAAGGTCACCAAGGATCTTATTTGGTCTATCCTGGTGGTCTATTCCCACATGAATAAGAGTTTATGGAAGGGGCATGTGATGACATTCCACCCAATGAAACAGTAGAGGGAGTCTGAGATGGGGGTGGGTGGAAGCTGTGTATTAATTAATAAAGACATTGGAGAACAAAGTAGCCATGGACAGCTGTGGAGCCTGTGTGGAATGTGGGACCTAGAAATACTACAACAAGCTTGTAACCATGAGGAACAGGAAGCTGCAGGGCAGCAAACACCTTGAGACTGGCTTACTATTTGATTCAGCCACTGAGTTAAACAATGGTGGAAAAGCAATATTTTTTAAAAACTGTTTGTTACATGAGAATTTATTTTGTTGTTGCCTAAGTCTATTATCTGAGTTTTCTGTTATCTGAAGTTTAAGAGCACTGACTGATGCACTTTATCAAGCAAATTCATTTTCTATTAAAGTTGTTCAAGAGCAAGAAATAGTTTCTCAATTACCTTCCTTCCCCCTCATCCTTCCCACCCTCTTTTCCTTTCTTCATCCCTCCTTTTCACCTCCTTTGTTTGCCCAATCCCTTCCTCTCCATCTTTATATCTCCAAAACTATTTTAAAAAGCTTTTAGACCTGCCCATTCAAGCACAAAACCTATTTTGGGGGGCCAAAAAGCAAAATGATTATTGGTATTTATAACAACCCTTCACTTGCCTTTTAACTTCAATTCAGATCCCGACTGTTTTCTAGCTTTTCTTTTTACCTCTTCTTTACAACCATATGTTTAAGAACGTGAGTACAAAAAAAAGAAAGGAAAAATGAAAACAATTGTGACAGGTATATTTGTGGTTATTTATTTGACACTACATTCAGGGTTAGGTATATAAATGTCCATTATGCAGGTACCCTTGTTGATGAGGTATGCCCTCCCTTCCCCAGGCAGATTCCCACTACTGCCACTCCCACCTCCTCATCCTCCCTGCATCTCCGTGGTTTCCTGCTACTGACAATTCTTTATTATAGCATTACAACAGTTGTTCAAGGTCCACTTATGAGTGAGAACACATGATACTCATTTCTTTGTTTCTGTGAAAGATCCCTCAGTGTTATAGACCGTAATGTAGGTTGCTGTGAAAAACTGGGTATTTATTAAATATTACAGTGATCAGAATAAACAATATAAAAAGGACCCTCTGAATTTTTCCAGAAAGTTATTGTCAGCTTCCATATATTTGCTTTGTAAATTCTGTGAATCTAGAATTTAGAAAATTTTTAGTTTTCAGAGAACTTAGTCTTAAAGTCTTTGTCTATAATAGGTCTTCAACACATGCATATGATAAAAAATACATTATAGGTTCTACAGAAAGGACATTTTTCTTCACTCAAGGCTGATATTATAAAGGATTATCTTGATTGGCATTTCTTTTCTTTTCTTTTTTTTTTTTTTTTTTGAGTTGGAGTCTCACTCTGTCACCCAGACTGGAGTGCAGTGGTCGCTCCCGGCCACCACAGCCTCAACCTGCTGGGCTCTGGCGATTCTTCTGCCTCAGCCTTCCAAGTAGCTGGAACTACAGGTGCACACTACCACACCCGGCTAATTTTTTAAAATTTTATTTATTGTAGAGATGAGGTCTCATCAAGTTGCCCAGGCGGGTCTCGAACCTGTGGGCTCAGGCAATTCACTCACCTCATCCTCCCAAGGCGAGGGATTATAGGCTGAGACACTGAGCCCGGTTCTTGATTGGCATTTCAATAAAACTTATAATCACTTCACCGTTCCTAAGTCCTTCCATCTAAGCTAGACCTGGTATCAATATATGTGTGGGTGTGTTGTCTGAGTAGGTCCTGTAGGACATGAATCCAGCACTTCCCAATCAGTTGAAATATAACTTTGGAGAGATTCTCCCTATGGACTTCAGGTAGCTTTATGTGATTATGTGATCCCCCCAAAAAAAAATCAGAAAAGAAACTCTTGAAGCTAACAATAGGATTTAGATGGGTTCTGTGGAGAAAGGATACCAAATATCTAAAACACAAGCTTTCATGGGGTAGATATAATTAGGTGGCATCAGGATATTCGTGGAAAGAATCAGTAGTCTAATGTGAATGTTGTGTAATTGTGCCTTAGACTGCAGTTGGGGTTTCTGGTCACTTGTACCTTTGGAAAAGTCCATGTTTTTCATTTCAAAACAGTACTATTTTCCCTTTAAATGTTTCTATAAGCGATTTGCATCAATGGATGCTTCTGCAAATACCTCAAAACCAGAACTTCACAGTTCTGTAAAAGATAGGAAAAGTCAATCTTGGAAGATGGGTTACACGTCCAGCTGTGTACACTTAGTTCAACTGCCCCGTTACTACTCTGGTGTTCAGGGGCACGCTCTTCATGAAGAGAGCTCACAAGGGAGATGTAACTGAGGAAGATCCTTAACCAGCTTTGATTTTGTCTGTGCCCTACATTTTCCCCACCATCAACACTAACCACAAGCAGAGAATTGCTCTCACTACTCTAGAAGATAGACTTGCTCTTCTGTTCCTGCTCCAAAACCATGCAACTTAATCATAATCAGTACTTCTCTTATTTTCTTGAACTTCTTTTTATTTCAATGGTTTTAATAAATATTTCCTAGAAAGTCCACAGCACTCACTTTTATTTTTCAATTTATATTTAAATTTATTCAGAGATAGTATCACTCAGTGTTATTAGAGAAGTCTGTATTAATACTAGAACTGACATTTCAGACCCACATGTAAGAGTACTGTTCCCATGTGATTTGCATAGGTTACAGAAATGGGTTTTTTTTTGCCATAGTACTCCTCCTCCTCATCTCTATCTTTTACATATTAGTTTTTGTTATATCTGGCAATACCATTTAGTCCAATAGACAAAATTTGAGCCACTTTAATTTTTAAAATAACCGTTTGAAAAGTCAACCAGAAAAGCATGTGATGTAGTTAAAGCACCATGAGTCAAGGGAAAAACAGTTATTTTGTGAATTTAAAACTATCTTAATATTCTTAGGATCATAATGATACTTCCTTGGACAATTTGGAAGTGATCTGAAAATTATACAACTAGATGATGATACATATATAATCTATTCTCATCACTGTAGCATAGACATCAGGACAAAAATCATACCTTACAATTGCTTAATAGTTGAGTCACACCATGTTCATTTTTACTATTAACTGATAAAAAGTAAAGTATGGTAAACTGGATGCATATAACAAATATGGGAGGTTGTAATATGTTTCCAGGATATGGCATCTTGCCATCGACCACAGCTTCTTGGAACAAGATAAAGTCATTGAAATAGTTAACAGATGTTAGCCATACTTGAAATATAAAAGTTCTATTGCTGAAAATTATGTAGGGTCAGATGGAGATTTGGCTCTTGGTCCATAACTTAACTGACTTGGCAAATAAAAAGTTGAGATTCAGAGGCATAATGCATAATATGGAGGCCATACACTCTGTACACTATGCGGGAGCTCATAAACTACTGACAATGTGTACACTGTGCTAAGCCTGCTTGATTAAGTATTAACACAGTATATGATACTCAGGGAAATCTGAAGTCAATTTTCCTGTCTACTAAATTAAAAAAGTTATTTCCATGAGAGCAAAACGGACTTTTTTTCAAGTTCAAAAGTATGACTACAAGTTTTATTGTTTATTCTCAGCTTGCAATTTACCTGGTAACCAGTATTGCTTTCATTGACTTCATAATCTATCCAGTTATACTCTTTTTCAAAAGTATCTCTTTTTCCTGCTCTTGTCTATTACTTCACATTTCAGAGCCAGTTGACATTAATGATTTTCAGATGAGTATGTAGCTGAAATTGATCTTCTCAAACTTAAGTCATAAATCCATTCAAGTCAAGCACTGAAGGAGGCTTGTGCTACTTTAGAGTTTGTGGTTTTATTCACAGCTTTGCAAATAAAGTCACCAGCTTCCATCACTTTGTAAAGATTCACACCCTGGTAGGGAAAACAAGGGATACAAGAAGGGGAGAGGAATTAGAGAACAGATAAAACATATCTCTTTGAATTTTATTAGTAGTTACTTAACCATTTAAAATCACTAAATAAAGTGTTAGTCATTATTGATTTTAGGATAACATTTGTTTTCATGAATCACGTAGTCACCATTTTAGATTTTCCTGCCTTATTAGAAAATATAGTGAATCTTAACTTGTAAATAGCATAGGTAGACACACTTGAATAACTCAGTGTAATTCAAGCTGGTGCCTAAAGTGTAAGAAGAACAATAATGGAACTAGAAAACAGTCTACAAAATATTGGACAATTTAAATGATGATGCTTTGGAGTTTACAGATAATAATTCTCTTAGAAAAAAATCCTTTTTACTATATAAAAAACAAACTTGATAAAATCATAAGGATTAAAGGAAATATAATCATATTTAAATATATAACATAAATATGATATTAGTTAATATCATTTATATATATATATCTCAATCTCAAGCAAGGTCAAAAACACTATCACTGATAAGGCACTAAAGGAGGTAGTTGCAAGTAAAAAAAATGAAGTAGTATTTAGTACACATCTGGAATTTGTTTGCTTGAGAGGTCGTACTGTTTGAAAGTATAAATAGGATAAACAAAGGCTTAGGTAAATCCATGGATGACAGAGTGCAGTTGAGTATGGAGGCCAAGTTCAGGGCATGCTCTGGGCCTTGGTGTAATGAAAGGTCACTATTGAAGTCTCCGCCCAGCACTTTTGCTGTCACAAGAGGAGACAAGGCATTAGATGGATTAACCACAAACTTGTCTTGTGTAGCATTTCATGAACTCCCATGTCCTCCTTCAACATGGACTAGAAACAATGTGAGCTTAAAATTGAACATGCTTTGTCTTCCTTGCTATTGAGAAGTAGTGTTTAATGTTTATAGAAGTCTGTCATTTTCTTAAAATAGACAAGTATAACTACTCATAAGGGCTTTCATAGCAATGAATATCATTTTAGAAACTGGAGACGTTTCAATATAGCTAATTACTTCTCACTAGAAACATGTAGAGCACTGCTTTCTTTGTAGTCTTTGCTTTCTTTAAGAATGATCAATAAAAATATTTTGTAAGATGACACTTGTAAGTTATTTTCACGATGTCTTTTTTGTTCTAAAGCTGTTTTCAGCGTACTAACACTTGCTTTAGTTTGAGAAATTTGACTTTGTCATGGTAATAAATTTTGGTGGAGTATCTGTTAAGCACATTTTAGTTTAACATTCTTAATCCTCTGACATTTAAATTTTGTAAACAATTGGCTTCATATGTCTTTCACTTATGATTTACATCCATTTAGTCACTAATGTTCTTCTTCACTTCCAATAATTCCATTTGTAACAATTATGCAGAAGAATTTGTTGATATCATACCGAAAAAGAGTTGCACTTTGACCTCTTTATAATTTTATTTAAAAACAGATATCATTATGAAAGAACACTGCATTTATTCTTAAACTGTTTATCAGGTGCTTTAATATGTCATGTCATATACCACAATAGGGTCTGGAGTTTCAAGAACTTAATGTAAAATGTGGTTTCCATCTTTAGGAAACTTATGGTCAAGCAGACAATATATATGAACCCCCAAACAGAAAACCTGTACTCTAGTAGTCACAAGTAGAGATATGACCAGGTGACTATGGAGGAAGAGGGGGACTACCAACTCAGTGAGGACAAAGAGTAGAAAAGACTATGTCAGGAAAGGATGCCGAAAAATAAAAGCCTGACCCAAGTTTTATATAGGAAGTATGAGTCCTGGAGAGGACAGCACTGTATATAAGCAAGGAGAAGAACGATATATGAAAAAGTACTGTGGCATATATGGAAAAAAGGTATAAACAGGCTAGATTATATGATAAAGCACAGCCTTGCTTTCAGGAAATGGTAACCCACTTACAGGTGCTCAGACAGAAGCAGGGATATTCATACTTGTATTTCAGATAGAATCCTTTGATAGGAGCATGGAGGATGGACTTAAAGCCTGAAGCCAGCAGACCAGTGTAGGGGATGAACACCCTGGGAAAAGATAAGGACCTACACTGATTTGGTCATAGCAAAGAGAGTAAGGAAGGGACAACCACCAACATATTTTGCAAGTTAGATTAGAGGCTCTTGGTAACTGCCTGAACGTGGGATCTACGGTGAGATTGAATTCCACAGAGAATCTTAGCTTGTTAGCTAGGATAAGTGACTGAATTGTGGCAGCTACTCAATGTGGCAATCCTCCTTGAATTGTGAAATTCTCAGGAATAGACTTGATTACTTTCATTTTGGATCTCAAAGCTATAGAACAAAATGGGCACATATTAAGCACCAGCTGTCAGTTGAGTTCAATTCAGTCATCTAAATCTCTAAGAAAGGATTTATTTCTCTTCAGTTTCTGTCATGGCCTTTTGATGGAAATGACTAAGCTACGTTGTAAAAGAGACACTTATTCCTAACCAGAGGAGAGAGGCACTAGCTTTTTGGTGTATAAGGCCAACAGTGGTTGGGATTTGGTGTCAAGTGAAGTCAGTCTTTCAAAATCTTTTGTTGAGCATCTTTATGCCATGGGCACCGAGTCTGAACAAGCTGGAAGAACTCCTTTCTGGCTGCATGGGGAGTAGGCACAGAAGCAAGATTATGATACAAGATATGGTTAGTTCAGAGGTAATACAAGGGTTGCATGGAAGCATGAAGGAGAGGGGTCTAATGGTCTGCCTTAGGAGACAGACATAAAGATGTTAGAAGACTTCTTTTAGGATGGTGGTGCCTCACTTCTGGGTGAAATAGAGCATGGGGTATAAGACCATCCCAAGTGGTGGTGAAAACACGAGTAAAGGGTAGAATAAGAAATAGAATGGTGCAGAAATGTGGACTACCATTAAGTTTAGTGCTACAGGAGCATGCATGTAAGAACAGGGAGGAAAAATAAGAGGCAAGAGTGGTAGAGAGGGAAAATTCCATTTTGTAATCCAGATGATGCTGTTACATCTTATAAAACATTTGGAATGTTTGATTACTTGTGGACAGTTTTCTTGCTTTTTTAGACTTTTCCCCCAAAATAAAAAAAATCTTTCCTATAGACTAACAGATTATGTTACCAAGCACATAGCAAAACAAGGTGACTATTTTGGTGGACGTGATTACTCAGCACGTGACTTTTCAGGCACTACTTGTAAAGAGACTATCCCTACCATCCAGTGTTTCACACACTAAGTATTATGAAGTTCTGCTCTTCCATTGACCATTTAAGAGTGTCCTGGGATCTTGTCCAGAAGCCCTAGTTGTCACTGTAAAACAATCAAGATGTCATTTTTTTTTCCCCCAGGAAGCATCCATACAAAAAAAAAACACCCCAAAACCCGTAACTCAATCATAACAGCAAAGACACAGGCTCTAACTCACAAAGTGTGTGAAATCAAGTCAGATAATACATGAAGAAGTACTTTGGAGGTCATGAAGCACTATAAAAATGTAAAATGGTAGCATTATTTGTGATTCAGTCATAGCAATAAGTTACTTTATAAAAGTCCCTGAAAGAATTTTTATTGTATTTTCCCACTGTGCATTTTAGCAAACAGCAAAAGTGTAGTAAAACTTTGACCTCAAAATTGCTTCCCACATCTGAGAAGCATTGTAATTTGGAACTGCAAGGAATGTATGAATATTAAAATATGTTAAAGAAACTTACTGTATTGAGCCCCAGGCCATTAAGCATATATAGCAAATCCTCAGTGGCTACATTCCCAGAAGCACCTTTTGCATAAGGACAACCACCCAACCCGGATACTGCAGAGTCCACCACATTAATTCCCATCTGTAAAACAAAAAAAACACCTAAGGCTTGTGTATTTTTTCGCAGTAAATTGTCACGTTTCTATTTAACCTGTGGCAAAGAGCAAATAAAATTTGAACTCTTTATTCAAACATGGTCACTTACCTACCTGCTGATAGCTGCTGATCCTTCTTCTGACTAATCTTGTCTCTTAGGCTAACAGAAACTCTACTAAGGATGTCTGGAACTAGAATACTCTTTGATCAAAATTAAAATGATGTTATTAGTTAATAATAGCACAACTACAGGTAGCGAAGCTTGGAGTAAGGTTAAATTACCCCCAGGTTTTTACATATTCTCCAGTTCTCTAGCTTTATCCTATAGCATTACATAAACAACATGATATATTTCCAATATTCCAACTCAAAATAAAAATGTGTTAAAAGACTGGTGTGTGTGGGGTGGGGAAGGAGGAAGTTAGCATTTTTTGCAGTGGTAGTTTATGGGCTCATTTTACTCAGTCAATTCACCCAATCTTTTCTGAGTCATTATTTTGCACACAAAACCCTGCTGTTTTGGGACAAGAAAGATATGTTAAGAGGTAAGACGTCTGCCACTAGTAATTACAGCAGCTCACATTTATTGGGTCCTTGCTAAATTGTGGATACTATTCTTAATATCATATGTGCTTTAAACTCACAATTCTCACAAAAACCCACGAGGCAGATACTCTTCTATCATCCTCAGTTCACAGAAAGAAAACTTAGTCCAGAGGGATCAATCAATTTACCCAAGGTCACCATCTGGTAGGTGAAGTCCTCTATCTTCCGAGGATTCACTCTCTGTCTTGATTGTAGCCGCTCGAAATGTGCAAGTTGGTATGTGATTATGTGCCTGGGGATAGCAGATGTGGAAGAGTTCTGTGTGCTGGAGAAGTTGTGAAGGACATGAGCACTACAGTGTCTGAGAAGGGCCTTTGAAATCAGACGTTAGTACATGGGGAGAAGAGAGGCAGGCATATCACTCTTCTGTGAAGGTGACAATGTGGTGATCAGAAGCTACAGAGAAGCCTAATCTGATTCTCTACTCCTGATCATTGAAGAAAAAGTAATAGGACCTCATCTAAAATGAGAAGTGCCTGGAAGAAGAGCTCTTGGTCATCCAGCTAGAACAGTGGTTCCCAGTCACAGACCAATGCTCCATCTTATTTCTCATTCAGAAGGTCTGGGTTGGGATCCGAGAATCTGAATTTTTAACAAGAGTTTGACAGCTACAGCTTTTCTGACCTTCTCTTTCTCCCTCTCTCCCCCGTCTTTTTTCCCTTCCTTTCTTTTCTTTTTCCTGCTAATCTTTTTATTTTGGAACAGTTCAAGATTTTTAGAAAATTTGTAAATATAAAACAGAGAGTTCTCATCTATTACAGTTTCATTTGTTGTTAACACCTGTTTAAGTAAAAAAAAATCCGATGATACCTATTCAAGAAGAGCAAAGAAGACTTTATTTAGGGACATCGCAGTAGGTACAGGGACCACTGCAATAGAATCTTGCAGTAGGGGCGAGAGATTGGGCTGACCTCCAAACACAGCATGAGTAAGTGGGAATTTATAGCCCCAGAGTGAGGGTTAAAGGATAGAAAATTACTAAGAGAAAAATATCAGGGGTAAAAGGAATTCTAGCTAAACTGACCTAACAGGATTTTTGCTGAAGAGAGGCCAGGGTGATCAGCATCACCTGGGGGATTGTGGAAGATGAGACACCTGATCAGGTATGCAGGGTGTTCAAATATTGACTATATAGGGGTTCTTGCTAACTGATTTAGCGGGAATTGCTAAAACTGGATTTTACAAGGAAGTTCACAGATGGGATTAGGAGAAGTTTTAGAAGCCTAAATAAAGTTTAGCCAAGCAAAGAAGCTTGTCAACTTTTATATCACAGAGTATTTGTCACAGCTAATGAGCAAATATTGACATATTATCATTAATTAAAACCCATACATTATTCATATTTCTTTAGACATCTACAAAGACATTTCTAAAGACATTATTTATTTATTTTTTTCTTTTCCAGAAACTCATCAGGATTCTACATTTCTGATATGTATTCGTATCTCTTTAGGCACTTCTGGACCACAACGGTTTCTCAGACCTTGACTATTTTGAGAAGCATTGATAGTGTATTGTGCACAATGTCCTTCAGTTTGGGTTTGTCTAAAGTGTTCTCATAGTAAGACTGGAATAATGGCATTTTGGGAGGAAGACCACAGAGGTGAGGTGCCAGTCTCAAAGCATCATATCCAAGTCACATTCTACCAATATAAATTACTACTGCTGATATGAAACTGGATTGCCTAGCCAACAAGGTATTTGCCAAGCATCTGCACTATAAAGTCTCTCCCCAAACTTTCCATACTATACTCTTTGGAAAAAAGTCACTATGTGCAGCTCACACTTAAAGAGTGGAGAATAGCTGCATAAATTATTTGAAATTCTTTTTTATAGGAGGTTTATCCTCCATATTTATTTATTAAGCATGTGTTTATATCAGCAAAAACTCATAGTTTACAGGCATATATTTTGCACTTTGGGTTGTAATTTAATACTAAATTATGTATTTTGTTATTCAAATTGTTCAAGATTTCGCCATTGGGAGCTCTTTCAATTGACTTCTGTGCCAATTGGAATGCCAAGGGGAGTGTACTTTACGAACCACTTTTCTAGAATTTCCCTTGCAAGGTTTAAGAGGATACTCACCAAGGCTCAGAAGGGAAGAATTACAATCTTTAAAAAGCCCAGGAATTCTTTGGGACCTAAGGCAGGTTTACAAAAGATAGATTGTTTCTGCATTTCCGTTTCTCTTATTATACACTTCAACATGGAAAGGTCCCAATAGCTCTCTTTCCTTCTGTTACCACAATCTCTCTCAAATAATGACCTGACAAGCTCAATCATATTCAGATGGTAATAACTGACTACCTAACATAATTGTCCTAAATGTGAAACATTTAGGATAATTTTCCTTTGCTATGAATCCAAACAGTAAGAATAAGGAAGTGAAGTTTGTGGCATCATGCATTAATTTAAAAGGCAAGTATTAAGGTATTGCCCATTTCTGGGAAACTGCCATGACATCAAATAGACATGGGCATTCTTCACCTATAAGTTAAAACTGACCTATTTGGGCTTGAATCTGTCACCTGAGGAGCCAGAAGTTTCAATGATTCTCAATCTTGTCTACCCATTAGAATCACCTAGGGTCCTTTAAAAAATAGGAATGCCTAAGCATCTCCCCAGACCAGTTTAATCAGAATCTCTCTCTGAGAATGGAGCCAAGCATTAATATTTCTTTAAAGCTGCCCTCGGGGATTCTCATGTGTAGCTAGGCATGAGAACCTCTGAGGCTGAGTTTCTTATCTATCTCACCCTTTATCAACCCAGGGTATGAGTCAGCTTTAACCTTAGAGAAGCTCTGTACCCCGAGGCAGCAAAAAATTAACCAGGACTGGTCAGCCTTTCAAGGAAACCAGATTTTATTTTTTATTTATTTTATTTTTTTGAGTTGGAGTCTCTCTCGGTCACCCAGACTGGAGTACAGTGGCCGCTCCCGGCCACCGCAGCCTCGATCTGCTGGGCTCTGGCGATCCTTCAGCCTCAGCCTTCCGAGTAGCCGGAATTACAGGCATGCGCTACCACGCCCGGCCGAGTTTTTGATTTATTGTAGAGATGCGGTCTTGCTGCCCAGGCGGGTCTCGAACCCGCGGGCTCAGGCAATCCACTCACCTCAGCCTCCCAAAGGCGTGGGATTACAGGCCGAGCCACCTGATTTTAAAAGGAGACTTTAAAAAGTATGAGGTAGTGAAAGAGGAATCAGCGTGATGGGTGAAAAATGGCTTCAGCCCAAAATGTGGACGATTCACTCTTGGAGTCTGGAACCCACATATCATGTTCCTTTTCTCACTACTGAGGATCAAGACCCTACAAGAGTCCCAGAAGGGAAGCTTGTTACATTGTGAAAAGAACACAGTTTTTCATCTTAATTGATCTTATGGAAAACCGGGAAGAAACAAGTAACTGAAGGCCAGTGTAACCTATTGTTTGGGTAAAAGTGAAAGATTATTTATAGTAGAGCAACTAGTGCTATAACAGAGAAACAATAAAGGATCAATGCCCCAAAGGAGCAAATGTAAATAATCAGTGAACCGAAGAAAACATATTCAGCTTCACATTAAATCAAAGATTGTGAATGAATACTGTAACACCATATTTTACACTTTCAGATTGACAAGAGATTAAAAAAAGAATATTGTCATTGAAATAGTGTAGTATAGAGCTACAAGATGTGAAATAAACTACAACTTCAACAATGTGGACAAACTCACAAACAAAAGGTTGCTTGAAAAAAGCCAAGCTCAAAAGAGAATGTAGAACATTATTTCACTTAGATAAAGTCCTAAAATAGACAACACTCATTAAGGTAGAAGTTAATAGTTATCCTTTGAAGTGTGAATAAAAATGATACGAGGAGAGCTTCTGGGGGTGCTGGCAACATTCTATTTATTGAACTGGGTTGATGATACTGGGAATACCAGTTTGTGAAAATTCATTGATCTTATCATTTGTGCACTTTTCTATATGTGCATTATACTTCAGTAAATATTACAACCAAAATTGCAGTGTTGTTGAAACAAAGTAAACAGGTGAACTTAGACTAATAGGAAGATTACAGTAAATTGGATTTTTTTCTGGTGACCAATTAACTAGTAATTAGTCTTAAATTGTTAACATTCATTGATCCACAAATTCCTTATCAAAAAAGTTCTTTCTAGGCTTATTTAACAAATTCTAAGTAAATAACTAGATAAGAAATAAAAACAAATACATATGGGTAAACACATTTTGTTGTACATGATACATAACACAAACATACATGTATCTATATAATGACTCAACACAGTATGTTTTTTAAAATAAAAACTTGAAAACAACCCAAATGTCTCAAAATAGGGAATAAGTTAAACTATTTATGGTATAGCCATAAAACAGAAT